GAAAGCACTTGAGAGTGCAGTTCTACTGTGAAACACACGGTGTCACCATAAAATCGCAGTAGGATACCATCCCATCCTCTTTCCAAGACCAAGAGCAGGAATCAATTCATTAGATAAAGGGATGGAATAAAATACATACGCATACTTTGTGGGAAGAAAAAGTTATAAAATGCATTAGTATTTCATCATAAATTGGAACACGGCTATGATCTGCCACTCAGCCATTTTCTCTCACTGCAGCATTATTGTGCAGAAGCACATGGAGCCTGGAAAGAGAATGAACAGAAGAGCAGAACTCACAAGAGCAAAAATTACACTTGAACCACCCAAATCCTGTAGGCTCTACACTGAGTAGATAAATGGTGGCCCATTCATACAACATAGGGAACATACATACACAGGCACGTGGGTAGACTACAGCCATGTGGATAAAACTCAAAAGCTTCCTGAGGAAAACAAGTCATTGAAGAACTGAGACTAATAACTGAATTTAGAGAAAGCTCAAAAGAGGTAAAACTAAACAATAGAGTTTACAGATTAAAACTTGGGTGGTAAAGCTACCATAACAGCAATATTAATAACAGTCATAAACTTCTAAAATACAAACAGCAACAATCACCAGGCAACAGAGATGAGAAAAGGGTGGGACACACTGAGATTCATAAAAACTGACCCAGGTCTATTTATTATCAGGACTTACATTACTATGTAAACTATAAAGGAAAATTTATGATATACTTTACAATAAAACATTTAAAACACAAAAGAAACGAAATTTTCAACTATTCATTTTACAGTCATATGAAACTCCTTCATTTTGATTTAACTTGTGTTAGTTCAGAAGACATTTTATACGTAAACTATTGCTACCCGGATCTTAGAAATTTACACTTATATTCACTAGAACAAGTTTTGTAATAACAAGACATTGGCCACAATCCAGGTGTCCATTCATGACGACATGGTTTAAAACACCAACAACAAAACTAAGATCAATCATACGTAGTATTCTGAAGTTTTATAAGAATTTAGATTTAAGCTATCTATGTATTGTTATGAAAAGATCACCATTAAACAGTAAGTGTAAATTCCATTCTACCTTTTGTATAACAAAGTAGGGGAAATAAAAATTTCTATTTCTACTTGCTTGCTTTTACGTAAACACTGGCGGGATCCTTGAGAAAGTAATAAAGCCTGTTATTTAAAGGAAGTTGGGGGAAGAGGAGTAGGCTGGATGAGGACAAGAGTAGAAACATGTCTACATAAAGTATACTTTTTTAAAGTTCATATTCACTTTTGGACTCTGAAGGTGTTATCTATTGGAAAAACATAATTTCAGCAAACTATATTAAACTTTTAACATGATACAAATCAAATGAGATGTTAAGTGTTTTTCCTAGGAATTCACATTCCTAATAATAAAACCATTTAAATTTAATATTTAGGACCCAACTGTTATTAAATAGTCTAATACACTTGTGCAAATCACAAAAGTATAAATTAGGGCTCTCTTTCTGAACACAGTACCCAGGGATATCAGAGTCTGTATATCCATTTTATCTCAGCCACGAAAATGTTTCTAAAACAGCTAAAATATCTAACACATTAGGGGTTCTGGCATGACATGTTAACTGTAATAGGAATCTTCAAGAACTTTCTCAAGACTTAAATAAGCTTTAGAGCAACTTTTACATCAGCAAAGAAGACATTCCTCTGTGTTGAGTTATATCCGTTAAATTGAAAAGTTCTCAGAAACATGCCAACTGATCTGGATATTTTCTTCCAGTGAAAACTGTAAACCCAAGGACTCAAATTGACTACATCTGTGGAAAGAGACCATGGAAAAGCTCAATATCATCAGTCAGAACAAGGCCAGGGGCCAACTGCGGAACAGACCATCAATTGCTCATATCCAAGTTCACATTGAAGCTGAAGAAAATTAGAACAAGTCCATGAGAGCTAAAGTACAACCTTGAGTATATCCCACCTGAATTTGGACACCACCTCAAGAATAGACTTGACGCATTGAATACTAATGACCGAAGACCAGATGAGTTGTAGAATGACATCAAAGACATCATATATGAAGAAGTCATTAAAAAGACAGGAAAGAAAAAAAAGAGCAAAATGGATGACAGAAGACTCTGAAACTTGCTTTTGAATGTCGAGTAGCTAACACAAAAAGAAGAAACGATGAAGTAAAAGAGTTGAACAGAAGATTTCAAAGGGCAGCTCGAGAAGACAAGATAAAGTATTATAATGACATGTGCAAAGACATACGGCTGCAGCAGTGTATCGACAGGGAACTGCCAGAAATTCAAGCTGGATTCAGAAGAGGGTGTGGAACCAGAGATATCACTGCTGATGTCAGATGGATCCTGGCTGAAAGCAAATACCAGAAAGACATTTACCTGTGTTTTCTTGACTATGCAAAGGCATTCAACTGTGTGGATCATAACAAAATAAGAATAACACTGTGAAGAATGGGAATTCCAGAACACTTAATTGTGCTCATGAGGAAACTGTACATAGATCAAGAGGCAGTCATTTGAACAGAACAAGGGAATACACGTGGCTTAAAGCCAGGAAAGGTGTGCGACAGGGTTGTGTCCTCTCACCATACCTATTCAATCTGAATGGTGCGCAAATAGTCTGAGAAGCTGGTCTATATGAAGAAGAGGGAATCAGGGTTGGAGGAAGATTCATTAATAACCTGTGTTATGCAGATGACACAACCTTGCTTGCTGAAAGTGAAGAGGACTTGAAACACTTACTGATGAAGATCAAAGACCATAGCCATCAGTAGGGATTACACCTCAACATAAAGAAATCAAAAATCCTCACAACAGAACCAATAAGCAACATCATGATAAATGGAGAAAAGACTGAAGTTGTCAAGGATTTCATTTCACTTGGACTCACAATCAACACCCATGGAAGCAGAAATCAAGAAATCAAAAGATGTACTGCAATGGACAAATCCGTTCCAAAAGACCCCTCTGAAGTGTTGAAAAGCAAAGATGTCACCCCGAAGACTAAGGTATGCCTGACCCAAGCCATGGTGTTTTCGGTCGCCTCATATGCATGTGAAAGCTTGACGATGAATAAGAAAGACTGAAGAAGAACTGACACCCTTGAACTGTGGTGTTGGCAAAGAATATTGAATATACCATGGACTGCCAAAAGAAAGAAAAAAATCTGTCTTGGAAGAAGTACAACCAGAATGCTCCTTAGTAGCAAGGATGGTGAGACTACATCTCACATAACTGGATATGTTATCAGGAGGGAACAGTCCCTGGAGAAGGACATTGTCATGCATTGAATTGTGTCCCCAAAAAACATCTGTCAACTTGGCTGGGTCATGATTCCCAGGATTGTATGACTGTGTACCATTCTGTAATCTGATGTGATTTCCTTATGTGCTGTAAACTCAATCACTATGATCTAATAAGATGGATTAGTGGCAGTTACATTGATGAGGTTTACAAGATTGGATAGTGTCTTAAGCCAATCTCTTTTGAGATATAAAAGAGAGAAGCGAGCAGAGACACATGGAAACCTCATACCACCAAGAAAGCAGTGCCAGAAGCAGAGCGTGTCCTTTGGACCTGAGGATCCTGGGCAGAGAAGCTCCCAGACCAAGGGAAGATTGATGACACGGACCTTCCTCCAGAGCAAAGGAAGAAAGCATTCCCCTGGAGCTGACGCCTTGAATTTGGACTTGTAGCCTACTGGGCTGTGAGAGAATAAACTTCTCTTTGTTAAAGCCATCCACTTGTGGTATTTCTGTTAGAGCAGCACTAGATGACTAAGACAGATACCATGCTTGGTAAGCGAAAAAGAGGAAGACCCTCAATGAGATGGACTGACACAGTGGCTGCAACAATGGGCTCAAGCATAACAAGGATTGTAAGGATGGTGCAGGACCGGGCAGTGTTTTGTTCTGTTGTACATAGGGTCACTATGAGTCAGCAGAACCGACTCAACGACACCTAATAACAACAAGGACTTAAGTATATACATATCTTATCTTGTGCTTCTCTAGCAAAAGCGAACCCTTAAATTTTAGGTTGTAATTCAAGAGTGTGGAGTGCAGTCGAAAATATAGGGATTTAGTACCAGCTCTAGGCATAGGTGGAGCCCTGGTGGCATAGTGGGTAAGAGTTTGGCTACTAACCAAAAGGTCGGTAGTTTGAATCCACCAGCTGCTCCTTGGAAACCCTATGGGACAGTTCTACTCTGTCCTATAGGGTTGATATGAGTTGGAATTGACTCGACGGCAATGGGTTTTTTTTTTCCCTAGGCATAGGCAGGAGGACAAAGGCCTATATTGGGGATTCATGCTTCTCACAAACTTGAAAGCCTCAAGGCAAAAGTATTCCCTACTAGAAAAAGGGATGGGTCTAGAGGACCCACATATGATCTAGCTGGACTCATTCTCCCCAGTCTCAGACTTTGGTGAGGGCATGACAGCACCAAGCCCCACCCAGGACCCCATAAACAGTCAAGCCCCTCCCCTGCGAACGCTCCCCCTTTTTTATGCCATCACACAGTGTGAGAGAAGTTTTAGAACTGCACAGAGATGGCCAAGAAAACTACAGTGATGGGACAAGGATGGCTCTGGAGGGCCTGGGGCTCAGCATTCTCAGCCAGAGCTTACCATCTTCTGGCTCTGCTCAGGAGATTCTGCCACTCAACACAGAGCATCAAGGCCCAGGGGGAATGTTAACGTCCCATGGGGCCAGCTCTGCAGGTCACATAAAGGAGGCAACCACAGGCATCCAAATCTTGAAAAACCACGTTATGTATAGATGAAGGCCCAGTGACAGTGAAACAGGGCCTAAGGATGCCTTCTAGGGCCCAGTCCCTTGGCCTCCTCTGCCACCTTTTTACCACATTGAAGAACCACAGGGCCCACAGCACACAGCTGGTCTCCCAACGTTTCATACCAAGCTTCTCCTCCTTATGGTAAGAATAACCCAGTTCTCCGTAGTGCTCACCATTTCCTTGCTCCAGCTTCTGGAAGTCTAAGTGAATGTCTTCTCTGAGCCCAAGAGCCACTTCAGTAAGAGGGATGGGAGTGCAAGCAGAGTCACTAGGCAGTCTGGAGGCAGATGAATAATGTTTGGTCCACACACCAGTCAGAGCAGCTGCAATCCTTATTTGTGACTTCCAGACGCGCAAGATGGTCACCTAGGTCCCCGGCTGCCTAGACGGGACTAGTTCTCCCTGTGCCACACTTAGGATCTGAAATGGAAGAAGAATGGGGAGAAGACAGTGTTGAGTAAGGAGGGAGTGACAGGTTCTTAGCCTTCAGCTCTTTCCCTGGGCAGGGCTTCCTCCCAGGCTCAAGGCCATGCTCCTCCCTGAGCACATTTGCGTTTAAGGCAGAAAAGGCTCCAGCTTCCAGAGCACACACTTGGCATTCCTCACACAGCTACACAGGCCTCTTCTTTCTGGCACAGAATGAGAAGCATCCAGGCCTGGAGAGGCTACAAAACTTCAACCTGATTTCCTCTAGGGAGTCTGGGGTCCGAGGCTGAGTTTGTAAAAGGGTTCACACGTATACCTGATATCAACATGGGTGAATTTTCAGGAAGAACATATTTTTCAAGTTTTGTCAATGAACTCATCATGCTTCCTAGATTTTAAATTATGTATAATTAAAACCCTTCTGTTTTGCTTTTTCAAAAAAAAATCCATTCCATTTATAGCGTTGTAAAATGCGATCTGTATTTTTTTTATTTGATTTTGCAAGTAACATTTCTTTCTTCCCTTTGAGGCTTTTTTCCCCCTTCATTCTCAAACCATGACACCAGCAGTTTTTAAAATTTTTTGAGAAATCTGAGAGGATTCCTAAATACTCTCTTTCAACCTTATAACAAATCAATCAGAAAATCTTTAAGTTTTGTCTAAGGAGCCATCTCCTGCCTGTTCCCATTTCTTTCTACCCCACTTCCCCACCCAACTGACTCCTATCTTTTATTTCTTGGTCTCAGTGTCAATGAGATTTGCTCAAGTCAGATTTAAAAAGTCTATCTTGGACATGTTCGATTTCAAAGCCATACAGTCCTCAGTGCCCCAGGTGAACAATGGGAAGGGTCTGGTCTTTGAGTCCACTGGTACTCAACAGCCCATATCTCAACCTGTAGGTTGCCTCCTCCAGGCCACAAAGAATCAAGCTGTGACCTCTGAAACAGGTTCCATTCCCAGTTCTGAAGCTTCAAGCTAGAAGGAAGGAAGAGCACAGTTCTGGCATGTATTAGGCATTTAGGATACATAAGTTGATATCGTGACATTATGTGAGGGACAACTCTTTAAGATTTTGAACTAGGAACATTCAGTGGTAATGCTGAATGGAGGTTTGAATTTCACACGAAGTGGCCACACTACCAGTCGTGTCTCCAAGATAACTCCAGTCCAAAAGGAGAGTACTTCTAGAATATCGATTTCTAGGGAAGGAAAGGGAAAACTAAAAGGCACCACATTTTTCTATCAATGTTGACATTAGAAGTGGTGTTAAATGGTCATTTTCCTTCTACACATTTTTGTTCTTTCTGAAACATGCAATATTTTTACAATTAAAAAAATAAGGATAGTTATTTTCTCAACAAACTACTTTTCAACAATGGATTTAGATATGACATCAAAAGCATGAGCAACAAAAGACAAAATAGATAAATTAAAAATCTTGTATATCAAACGACTTTACAACAGAGTGAAGACACAACCTACAGAACAGAAGACAGTATTTGGAATCATGTATCCGACACAGGTTTAATATCCAGGATATATAAAGAACGCGCATGACTCAACAAAAGAGAGATGAACAAGCCATTTTAAAAATGCAAAAAAACTTAGACAGTTCACCAGAGAAGATATACAAACGGCCAGTAAACACATGAAAAAGGTGCTCCATGCCATCGGTCATCAGAAAGATGCAAATCAAAACCACACGGAGACAGAATCTCACTGCTACCAGGGCAGCCACTATCAGAAAAACAGAAAACAGGAGTTGGGGTGGAACGTGGTGAAATTTTTTGTGAGACTGTACAATGGTACATCCTCCATGGAAAACAGTGTGGCAGTTCTTCAAAAATTGAAACACACAATTGCCATATTACCCCAAATTTTCCATTTCTAGGAGCCCTGGTAGCACAAACGGTTAAGCTATAGGCTGCTAACCAAAAAGCTGGCAGTTTGCATCCACCCAGAGGCTCCCTGGGAGAAAGCCTTGGCAATCAGCTTCCATAAGGATTACAGCGAAGAAAACCATGGGGCATTTCCACACTGTCAAATGGGGTCGCTATGACTGAAAACTGACTTGACGGCACCTAACAGCAAGAAGTATATACACCCAGCAGGCTTGAAAGCAGGGACGCAAACAAGTACTTCTACACCACACGTTCACTGCAGCACTATTCATAATAGTCTAAAAATGGAAACAACGAAAATGTCCATCAACAAACACGGATAAACAAAATGTCGTATGTCCATAAAAAGGGATATTATTCAGTCATAAAAATAAATGAAGCCCATAAATGCTATGACATGGATTGAAAACACTATGCAAAGTGAGTAAGTCAGACACAAAAGAACAAATATTTTACAACCCCACTTATATGAAATATCTAGAATAGGCAAATGTATAGAGACCAAATGGTTACCAGGAGTGGATGGGAGGTTGGAGGGAATTAATGCTTAAAAGGCACTGAGTTTCTGCTGAGGGTGATGGGAAAACTTGGAAACTGAGAGTGGTGATGGCTGTACAACACGGTGAAAATAATCGTTACTGAATAGTACGTGAAATAGGAAAAGCTTTTCTTATGTATATTTTACCACACACACACAAAAGACGGCATGAAATGATACCATTAGGGGGAAAAAAGAAAGAAACTTAGTTTCTTGGGCTGAGTGTGTGAGCGAAAGGAGGGAAATTTAGATACTATGGGGATATAGGGCCGTAAGTGGGTTTTTCAAAGATTTAATCCCAACCTTAAACTGTACTAACCTAAATGAAAAAACAAACCCACTGCCGTCGAGTCGATTCCGACTCACGGCGACCCTATAGGACAGGGTAGAACTGCCCTATAGGGTTTCCAAGGAGCAGCTGGTGGATTTGAACTGCTGACCTTTTGGTTAGCAGCTAAGCTCTTACCTACTGGGCCACCTAGAGAAACAAAATTATATTTGAGGTACAGCAGTGTGAAAATAATGGACTTTTAAAGGTAACTGGAACGGGATCACCTTGTTATTAATATGGAAAAAAAAAAGAGAGAGAGATTATCCTGACAGCATTGTAGTTAGCAATGATTTCTCAAACAGGACGCTTCGACGCTTTAAATTTTTGAAATGATACATGCAGCTGCTCCTTGACTCTTTGTTGTTGCTGTTAGTGGCCTTCGAGTCGATCCTACTCATGGAGACCGTGTGTGTGCGGAGTAAAACGGCCCCATGGGGCTTTCAAACTGCGACCTTTCAGGAGCACATCACCACGCCTGTTTTCCAACATTTTTTTTGTATGTAAAATGGTATCTTTTTGTCGGTCTTACATTCAATATATTTGATATACACATATTACCTTCATTCTACATTATATATTTTTTTCAAGTTGGCATTTTTTTAATTGTATTTTCTTTTTTTTTAATCGTTGGGCTTTAAGTGAAAGTTTACAATTCAAGTTAGTCTCTCATACAAAAACTTACACATACATTGTTATGTGACCCTAGTTACTCTCCCTATACTGTGACAACACACTCCTCCTTTCCACCCCTGATTTCCCATGTCCATTCAACCAGCTCCTAACCCTCTCTGCCTTCTCATCTCACCTCTGGACAGGAGCTGCCCATTTAGTCTCATGTATCTACTTGAGCTAAGCAGCACACTCTTCACGAGCATCATTTTATGTCCCATAGCCCAGTCTAATCTTCAGCTGAAGGGTGAACCTGAGGAGTGACTTCAGTACTGAGTTTAAAAGTACCGGAGTCACACTCTCAGAGTTTCTCCCATCTCTGTCAGACCAATAACTCTGGTCTTTTGTGTGTGTGAGTTAGAATTTCGTTCTACACTTTTCTCCAGCTCTGTCCAGGACCCTCTATTGTGATCCCTGTCAAAGCAGCTGGTGGTGGTAGCCGGGTACCACCTAGTTATGCTGGACTTAGTTTGGTGAAGGCTGTGGTACTTGTGGTCCATTAGTCCTTTGGACTAAATCTTGCCCTTGTGTCTTTGGTTTTCTTCATTCTCCTTTGCTCCAGATGGGGTGAGACCAGTGGAGTATCTTAGATGGCTGCTCACAAACTTTTAAGACTCCAGATGCTACCCACCAAAGTAGAATGTAGAACATTTTCTGTACAAACCCTTATGCCAATTGAGCTAGATGTTCCCCGAAACCATGGTCCCGACAGCCCGCAGCCTAGTAATTTGGTCCCTCAGGGAGTTTGGATGCATCTATGGAGCTTCCATGGCCTTACCTTGGTCAACTTGTGCTGGCTTCCTCAGTATTGTGTACTGTCCTAGCCTCCACCAAAGTTACCACTTATCTATTGTCTGCTGAGTGTCCCACGCCCCCCCTCCCCGACCCCACCCCAGTAACCACCTGTGGTGGATTAATTACTTTCCTGTGTGTGGCCCTTATAACCACGGTCTTATAACTCCCACTCAGGTGACTGTGTGATAGCGTAATTGTGGCCTACCAAGGGGATTGGTCAGTTTTGCCTTAAAAGAGAGCCAATTCCAGAACAAAGAGGAGAGCCCAGCCCCACTGAAGGAGAACCCCACAGGAGATGGTGCAGTGGGCTTCCCAGTACATGGAGCGAGAAAGCTAAGTGCCTTTGGGCAGAGACTGAGGGCCAGGGAGAAGTCTACGTCTGACCTACAAATGTGGGACTCAGTAGCCTCCAAAACATCGTGAGCCATTTCCTTTATATGGTCCGTGAGTTCTGTGAGACGTTGCAAGAAATTAGGGAACCCAAAGACAGAGGGAGAGTACTGAGGCGGGAGGGAGTAGCTGATGCTAGAGATGATGGAGTGGCACAGCAGCTTGGAAAATTAGACATTTGGGACATCTTTAACCTTCCCCTCGTAGGAACTAGCTTTGTGCTGATCCTTATAAGAGAAATTATTCATTTACCATCAAAGATTGTTTTTTCTTGTGTGTAAACCTTTTCACTAGTTTTTACAGTAGTGGTCTCCTAAGTCCTTTTGTGATTGACTTATTTCACTTAGCATAATGCCCTTCAGACTCATCCATATTGTGAGATGCTTCGCAGATTCATCATCGTTCTTCACTGCTGTGTAGTACTCCACTGTGTGTGTACCACAGTTTATCCATTCATCTGTCGACGGGCATCTAGGTTGTTTCCATCTTTTTGCTGTTGTGAACAGTGCTGCAACGAACATGGGTGTGCATATGTCTATTCTTGTGATAGATCTTATTTCTCTAGGATATATTCCTACGAGTAGGATTGCTGGATTGTACGGTGTTTCTATTTCTAGCTTTTTAAGGAAGTGCCATATCATTTTCCAAAATGGCTATACCATTTTGCATTTCCACAAGCAGTGCAGAAGAGTCCCAAGCTCCCCACAGCTTCTCCAACATTTGTTATTTTCTGCTTTTTTGATTTGTGCTAGTAATGTTGGCGTGAAGTGGTATCTCATTGTGGTTTTGATTTGCATTTCTCTCTATATTACCATATTTGGTTTAAAAAGAAACATATTCCCTGGTCATATTGCATGTGTCACAAATTACTCATCAATTTAAGCTTCTTCATGTTCAAAATTACTTGCTGTAAATCATGACTTTCTCATAGCTGCATATTTCTCATTTATTTTAGCAAGAGTACTTTGTAAAATAATTATTACAAAGGTCAAGGTACTTTTTGCAACACTGTAGTGTGGCTGTTCCTCTAGGATCTGTTCAAGTATTTTGATTAGCACCATTACCCATTTGCCCCATTCCCAACATTTGCTGCTGACAATGGGAATATGCACGACTTCTGCTCCAAGAATCCTTCAACCTGATAAGGAGTGTGGATCTTTGGTAGCAAAAATCGTGGTTGAATCACCAGCATCCAAAGATACCCAGATCCTGCCTCAGCTAATCTTTAAGATCTTGGACAAACACTGGATTTGTGATCTCTATAAATGCCTCATCACCAATGTTAAGCTTGTTCAGCCACATCCCATCTCACAGCAGACCAACTACGGTGGGTCATACTGTTTCTCACACAATCAGGACGAAAAATGTCTGCCTAACTGCCAAAGAAATTCCTCGAAATGTGCCTCTGAATATTTTCCTTCTGGATTTGGGATCCATATGGTCCTAAATGCACCTACCAGTTCCGACTCAAGTTTCTAAATTCTTCGTCTATCTCAAACACACACAAACCATTAACGTAAACCTGCTGCCGTAAAGTCGATTCTGACTCATCGCGACCCTAGAGGGCAGAGTCCAACCGCCCCGTGGGATTTCCAAGGAGTGACCGGTGGATTTGAACTACCGACCTTTCAGTGAGCAGCCGAGTTCTTCACCACCACGCCACCAGGGCTCCCACCATTAAAGGAGGGACGATACATTCCTCACCATGACCTTACTTTTTTATGGCCACCAATCCTTAACACAAGTCCTGCCTTGAGGAAGCACAGAAAACACAGGGGGGCAGTGAGCGGCGAACTGCAGGGGGTGCGAGCGGAGCGTGTGGACTCAGGCCAACAACCTTGCGCGTCCATGAGGCCTGTGACCGCGCGTTTCTAACAGACTCCCAGGTGAAGCCGACGCTGCCGGGCTGCGCACACACCTCTGCTCAGCGAGGATGTACACGATTCTACCCGTCAGCGCACAGCCAGGCTGGTCCACCCACCCTCCGCCGTCCAGAACCCGGCCGTGCAGAAAGGCACCGCGGCCGGGCGGCCGCTGGGGGCTGGGACGGCGTCTCGGCGGCGGCGGCGGGAGGCCACCGGTACAGCCAGGCGGCGGGAGTCCTGCGGCTCTGGGGGCGCCGAGAGGCCAGACGGGCGCAGACAAGCGGGAGCGGGAACGCCTCGCCCCCGGGCCGCACCTGGGACCGCAGCAGGCCCGACACCTGCACATGCAAAACCTACCTGACGCTGCCCCAGGAGCGCGACGGAAACGGGACAGCCGGCCCTCGGCGGCGCACTTCCGCTTCCGGGTTCTGGGAGTCTCGGTGCCGAAGGGGAAGGGTTCCGTGCGCAGTCCCAGAGCGCTCCAGCCGGTGACCGTGGGGTTCAGTGGCTTCCCCTTGGGCTTTGGCTCTGTCCTCTGCTGCCTTTATTCCCTCTGTAGGGCAGAGCCTAGGCTCTCTTAAATGCGTATATAAGCTTAAACGCGGAGTTCAGTAGTCAAAAACTTCTAATACCCTTGGGGAGCAGAGAAAGTTGGTATTTGCAAATGTGGCCATTTAAAAAAAATGTACCGTGTTCTTCAGAGAATTTGTTGGCTCGTCATAAATATTTGCCCGTCTTTAGAATCGTTCAAGTCTCTTGTTTGGCTTCTGTTTCAGGGTGTGTCGTCTTTTGCATTTCAGGTGTCTTTCCCTAGGAGGAGGACACAGACTGTGCAAACCCAGTCTGATCTCTCCGAGAGCTGAGGGTCCTGGAGAGAGGCGTTTTCCAGGGTGAGAGGCAGGAAGATACCGGTCCTTCTGAGGGAGAATAGGTAAAAGGTGATGTACCTTTGAAGATGACCATTATCAACAGGTTTTACATTTTCTCAGGTATGCACACGTACAATAAAGAGCATAATGTGTACTAAAGTGTACAACACTATTTTTACATGTAGTTATACACTCTATATAAAGAAAAAAATCCTTACAACCGGACAAATAAGCAACATCATGATAAATGGAGAAAACATTGAAGTTGTCAAGGATTTCATTTTACTTGGATCCACAATCAACGCCTATGGAAACAGTAGTCAAGAAATCAAACGACATATTGCATTGGGTAAATCTGCTGTAAAACACCTCTTGAAAAGTGTTAAAAAGCAAAGATGTCACTTTGAGGACTGAGATGCGCCTGACCCAAGCCATGGTATTTTCAATCACCTCATACGCATGTGAAAGCTAGACAATGAATAATGAAGACCAAAGAATTGATGCCTTTGAATTATGGTGACGGCAAAGAATATTGAATACACCATGGACTGCCAGAAGAATGAATAAACCTGTCTTGGAAGAAGTACAGCCAGAATGTTCCTTAGAAGTGAGGATGACGAGACTTCATCTCACTTACTTTGGACACATTATCAGGAGGGACCAATCCCTGGAGAAGGACATCATGCTTGGTAAAGGAGAGGGTCAGAGAAAAAGAGGAAGACCCTCCAGAAAATAGATGGACCCAGTGGCTGCAACAATGGGCTCAAACATAGCAACGCTTGTGAAGATGGCGCAGGACCAGACAGTGTCTCCTTCTGTTGTACCTAGGGTCACCATGTCAGAACCAACTCGACGTCACCTCACAACAACATACACTCATATGACCACCTCTGACATCAAGGTAGGGAAATTTTCCAGCACACAAGAAGATTCCCTCACGCCCTTTTCCCAGTTGATAGACACTCCAGGAATAACCAGTATTCTGTTATTGCCAGAGAGAAGATTTGCCTGTTCTTGGATTTCATGTAATTGGAATAATACTGTGTGATGTGTACTGTGTCTGACTTCATCTAGTCAACCTAATGTCTGCCAGATTTTATCTATGTTGCATATAGCAGTAATTTGTTTTTTTTGTGTGTCTGTTTTATGAATATATGACCATTTTTCTTATTCATTTATTCATTCATTTTATTCTGTTGTTAAAGTTTGTATTATAACCCAGCATACAGTCTATCTTGCTGAGTGTTTAATGAGCACTTAGAAATAATGTGTCTTCTGCTGTTGTTGGGTGGAGCGTTTAATCAATGTCAGTTAGGTCAAGATGGTTGATGGTGTTGTTCAGGTCTTCTGTATGCTTGCTGACTTCCATATCCTTGTGATTTTTTTTTCTATTTCATGTTTCATTTTTCATTCATATATGTTGAAGTTCTGTTGTTAGGTGTATACACATGTCAGATTGTTATGTTTATTTGTTGAATTTCCCTTTTCTCATTATGCAGTGTCCTTCTTAGCCCTGCTAATTTTCAGTCTAGCCTCCCCCCGTCCCCGCTTGCTAATTATAATGGTCTTTGTCTGATGGAGAGAAGCTTGATTCCCATTATTTGCAATTTATCTGTGTATTTGTTCAACTCTGGTAAATGTATAATTTTACAATTGCTAAACAATACTGCTCTGAGAAGCAAATTTACCAACTAAAGCAGTATTTCTTTGCAGTTCTTCTTGTGTTTAGGCTTACAGTTTCCAGAAAAAGCACGGTCTCCAAAGTTCTTTAGGGTAGCTCCTTTTTTCCTCACCACTGTCAGGGATATTATGCCCCACATCTGTAATAGTATTAGATTCATTTGTCACAGTTTGCTCCCCACTTTGGGATATGCACATACCTGGATGGTTTTAGAAATTTGTATACAGCACAGTCCATTCTTTGTGATATATAACTCTGTGGTTTTGACAAATGCTTAAATTCATGTAAACACCAATATAATACCATACAGAACAGTTATATCACCTGAAAAATGTCTTTGTGAAGGCTCTTTGTGCTTAACCCTTCTTCCCTCCCTCCTTCCTACCAACTAATCTGTTTTCTATCTCTACAGTTTTGCCTTTTGTAGAATATTGTATAAATGGAACCATCCATTATTTACCATTTTGATCTGGCTTCTTTAACTTACAAAAATGCATTTAAGATTTATCCATGTTCTAGTGTCAATCAATAGTGAGTTCTGTTTATTGCTGTGTATATTATACTGATACACCAAAGTCTGTTAATCCTTTCACTTGTTGAAGAACATGTTGGTTGTTTCCAGGTTTTGCTAGTGATGAATAAAGTTGCTATAAAAACTCCATGCAGGTTTTTGTGTGAACATAAATTTTCAGTTCACTCGAGTCAATACCTAGGAGTGGGAGCACTGTGTTGTCTGATAAGTGTATCTCTAACTTTACAAGAAATGGCAAAACTTTCCAAAGTGGCTGTACCATTTTGCATCCCAACCTTTGACTGAAAGTTCCTGTTGTCTGCATTCTCACCAACATTTGGAAGTGTCAGCTCTTTTTTCTTCAGTCATATTAATAGGTGATAGTGGTATCTTGTGGTTTGAATTTACACTTCCTGATGACTTTTTTTGTTTAATGACTAAAAGTGTTGAGCATATTTAAGCTTATTTGCCATCCATATGTCTTCTTTGATAAAGTATATAGCACTGAAACAAAAAGCTTTCACCATATTTTCTCCTTTTTAATTCCTCAAAAATGGCAATCTTTTTCCTCCCCTACGGTCTTTGCTGAAGGAGCCTGGTGGCACAGTGTTTAAGTGCTCAGCTGCTTACCAAAGGGTCAGTGATTCCACCGGCTTTCTGTCGGAGAAAGATGTGGTAATCTGCTTCTGTAAAGCTTTACTGCCTTGAGAGAGTTACTGGCCTGATTATGGCCAAGACTATGGCC